GTAATGACCTTGACCTGACATTGACTCTAATATAAAATGGTGAAAACTAATCTAACTAATGCCATCACTTAGTAATATTGTTTTCTTGATTCTGTGAAAATTTCATTAACTTTTAAATACAAGAAATACAGTTTTGTGTGAGAAGAATCCTACCTAAATTAAAAGAGTTTTTGAGATTTATCCTGATTTCTTTGTTATATTCACCCTTTCCATTTAAATGTACATGAAATAGTTTAGATATCTTTGTGCTCGTGGGTGCCGTAATGTCCCATATTATATGATGCCTTAGCAAATTTTCAAATAGTAAAGATATATGTGTCGACCCAAAAAGAGAATACCAAAATATGTGTATAATTTTAAAGTGCTGCTAATAGGTGGAAGAGATTTTATAGCTCTAAAACAAATTAAGATATATGTTTTAATGTGTGTTCCAGAATCATTTTAATTGAAGACCTTGCACTATATAAAACACATGCAATCGAAAACAAATTACAGATGCTGGTACCAGGAGGTACAGAGTATTAAGGAATATGTATTTAAAACTGTCCTTAAGTCGGGTTAAATGGTTCATAAGTTATTATCAAACATAAAAAACACGGCTTCATGACATTAAACGAAACCGACTGATGCCAAACAATAAACACAGTAATTAAGAAAATGTAGCACATTTTTGTGAACTCGTGAACTTTTATACCGCAGACTTTTACTCCTGGTACCAAATCTCTTTGACATTCAGTCCGATTCATCCGTATTTGTGAGTTTATTAGTAAGATTAGGAAGGAATTCTTTATATAGTCTTAATATTTCAAAGGGTTCTGACGTCACGATGTATCGGGTTCACGGACGTCGTCTTCTTTCGTACAATATTGTGTTAATGGTGTCATAAAATTTAAGACCTTGTACTCATTCTTTTAAAAATACACTTGGCTTGGCTGAGAGAGACAAGGATGCACACTTACTGCAAGGGTGTTCAGAAGCAAAATATAAAGATATGAATGTAATGGTTATCTACATGTAAATGTCACATAATAAACATAATTAGGTAAAAGTATATTTTTTATTGTATAAACTTTTTTGTCATCGAGTATTAAACTTTTGATAAAATGATTAGACACAAATGTGATTATATCAATAGGCAAGCCGGATGCATTGTTTTTCAGTTCAGGTTTAGCAGGTTAGGGAATAACTGAATATCCGAACAAATGTCATCTACTAGTTAAAAGGAGAAATGCAAGGAAAAGAACTGATGAAAACAAACCGAACTAGGAAAAAAAGGTACTTTGAGCACTGAGCTCATAAAATGATACTCCCTCCTCTCATAATGATATAAATATAATGACAAAGTCCATGTTTTGCTTTGGAAGACACAAAATAAGTGTGAGACCAAAAAGTGAAATAGGTCAGATGCACAATGACATTAAAAGCTTTGAAAGTATCATAAAATTTTATTTAGCGGTATAGGAGGGGTTGTAGATAAGAGATGGGTACCCTTTGATATTATAGAAGGAATAGCAGTGTCCAAGTTTTGCTATGGGAAACCCAAAATACATGTCAGATCAAAAAGTAAAATAAGAGATGCTTAATTTCATTGTTCGCTCATATTTTTTTTACATTTTGATCTGACCCTTATTTCTGCTCTCCCAGAGCAAAACATGAGCTTTGCCATTATAATCATATGAGAGGCGCAGATTTTCATTTAGTAAACTCGATCATTCTCACAGTACCTCTAGTAATACCCCACGCTTGAAAGTTAGGAGGGTATCTAGCAACCAGGATGTCCAATCGTCTGTACGTCCGTCCGTCTGTTACGCTTTGGGGTACCCATCTCTTATCCGTAAATCCTCCTATACCACTGAATGAAATTTAATGAAACTTTAACATAATCTTTAACATAATACAATGAATGAAATTTAATTAATTGACTTCTCAAACAGAATCTTTGTTACATATTCATAGTACACTTTGTATATTATGAATATTTCACCATTTATTTTACATTTTTATCGGAAACAGATTTCGGGTTTCCCAAAGCAAAACTTGGTTGCTGTCATTCTTTTATTAATCTCTTATCCACAACTTTTCCTATACCACTGAATAAAATTTGTTAATACTTTCACAAATTCTTTACTGTTAAGTATTTACTATTGTGCACCTCCTGTCTTGCTTTCTGATCTGCCTTTTTTCGGGTCTCCCAGAGCAAAACATGAGCTTTGCCATTATGTTATTAAGGATATATGAAAGTATCATTGAATTTTTTTCAGTGAAATAAGAGAGGACAGTTTTACGATTTTGTAAATTATGGTTTACAACTCTTAACTATGGTTAACGATCTGATAGATATAGTTTCACGATTTGTGAAATTATGATTAACAAATCGTAACTACAGTTCACGAATGTAAATTATAGTTTACAGATGTGAATCTATATTTATAAACAAAATCTATTCTTAACGTTTTATTACAGACAGATAAACTTAGATTAGCATTCGTAAACTATAATTAACAACCGTTATGTTTAGCTCATTTTTGTGAATTTGGCGTGTCATATATATATATATTTATATGGTTTGCAAATGGGAAACCCGAACTTTGTGCCCTATCAAAAGTAAAAAATGCTCCAGGTGCACAATGGCACTAGACCTATATATCAAAGAATCTGTGAAAGTATTGTTAAATTTCATTCAGTTGTAATAAAAAGAGGAGTTGCGGTTAAGAGATGGGTACCGCACATCGTAAAAGACGGACGTACAGACGGACAGACATCCCGATCACTTTATATATACCCTTCTCCTTTTCAAACGAAGGATATAAAAACTGCATGTGACCACGGGGAAATAGATTTTTTTGCAAGAAATTCAGAAATTCATAAAAACATGTATTGAGTTTTTAAAATGGAGGATTTAATCGTACTCAACAAAACAGAGGGCAACCAGCATTTTTATGAAAAGTTCCCTTACATGTAACAGCTAATAGTCTTAAAAACGTGAAAGGGGTCGGGTGATTTTTTTTTTAATCATTTTTAACACAGTTGGGAAATTCTCAAATGGAAATTGTGTAATTGTTTCATGAACTCTACCAGAAACTTGATTTACATAGAGCCATAAATATATTTGATTTAATACTGTAGTTGAAATGATATTTAGTATTATTGAAAACGAATTTTGAAATAGTAAATGGAATTTACTTTTATTTTGATTGAGTAACTCGTGTACATTTGTTACCGATGAATGATAAAGAACTATCATAAATAATTGAATTGAATTGTTATATCTGTGTGTTTTTTTTTCCTGGCTTCATATACAAAAAACAAAATTATTATTTATTTTCAATGTTATCAAAGATTTTTTTTAAAGATTAAATTACATGGAATCGTGTTAGTTGTAGAGTAATATGTGCATGTAATGTATGATGTATCTGAAATATAATATTAATTACTTCCTTATATTTCATTACTATTTTTACGTTAAGATATAGTAAGATATAAAATATCGAACACTGATCTGTCTTAAAAATCTTAAACCTTTCGAAAATTATATTGGCATTGAACACAATTAGTTATCGCCAGCTGAAGTATATTACACAAAGAGCGATAACTCTATAACTAACAATATTTTCCTCCTTGACTGCTGGGTTCTAATTAATGTACTAACCCCACCCCATCCCCTCCAGAAAAAAAATAACGAAAGAAATAAACGTCATCACTCTCTTGATAAGCCCATCGCACCCATAATTTAAAGGATGTACATTAAATTAGTTTTTTTTTTTACTTTTTTCTTATGCATTAAGGTTCTTTTAGTTCAGATTACAACATGTACAAAACCCCTGCTGTTCCGACTACTTACAATACTGTTGAAACAATAAATTGTTGTATCATTTAGATAATTTTAAGCTTGCATATACACATGTCATGTATGACCGATGTATGAATGTTGGTTTTACTTTTTTGTATTCGTAAGGGACATTGAAAATGGACATACATGATTTTGTCATTGAATTGGGGTTTTAAAGTTTTAATTATTTTTTCAATTATATGGAATTCATATGGTTAGGACGGAGAAGGGGGTGGGGTATAAATTTTAAGAAAAAAAAACAGAAAAGGCATATATTTTTTCTGAGTGGAGCCCACTCCTTTTCCCTGGATTCACAACAAGCACGTACGTAGCAACGGGGGTTGGGGGGGGGGGGCTCCCTTTTTTCCCAAAATTACTTTTACTATTGGAAATGTTCAGTTAAAAGCTGCCCCCCCCCCCCACGCACACACACACTTTAAACTACAGGAAAGTGATTTAATGGAAATGTAGGGGTTTTTTTTGCTTGTCAACTTTTTTAAGTTTACTAAGTTAACAAAAAAAATTCTCTAACTTTCTCTAACTTTCTCCCCCCCCCCCCCACTTTCAAAAACAATGCTACGTGGCTGCACCATGCAGCTAGTTCAATCAGTATCATATGTCTTTTTTTCTCATTTTGTTTTTGTTTTCGATATCTACATGCATGTGCATACATGATGAAATTACTTATTAATCATTATACAGGTTGTTATCAGGTTATATATTTCAAAAACATTCAAATGAAATTTAGATGCATTTAATTTTTAAATTCAGAAATAATTTTTTAAGCTATGACACAATCATACATTAGAAGGATTGGAATTTTTTAAAATCTCAATTTCATTATAAGGGACCTATATACATGTTCTTCCTATAATATACCTAGTAACTGTATATATAGGTCCCTGTCGTTACAAATTAAACATTCTTTCATATTCTGACAATTTTCAGACAATTGGAGAAGATGACGATCTATAATTTATTCAGAGAATTTCGTATTTTCCTTATTTTATAACACAGAATGAGATTAGGATTTTTAAAAATCTTCTTATAAGGATTTTTTTTTAATTATTGGGTGTTTTGGAACTTTTTGAATTTAGCGCGCAGAAAAATATTTTCAACCAATGAAAATTGACGTGGTACAAAGTGCTCGTCTACAACGATACCAGTCACGTGACACAACACGGAAGCCATGCAAGATGGAAAGAAAGGGCGGAAAGCCCAATCAACACATTTCATGTTTATTTCCTGAAGTTTTAACGATTATTTTTAGTTACTTGAGTGTAAGGGACAAAGGTCGTGTGGCGCAGGTATGTGTGAAATGGCGAGATGTCGCCTACAACCGGTGCGTATGGCGGGGAGTTTGTGCCAAACTACATCTTCGCCGGGCAAATCCGTCTTTGTTCCCCAGTCTGGTCAAACGTGGGATTAAAAGAGTTCAGATTCTCAGCCTGAAGCGCAGCTTACGTGACGTAGTGGTGGGGATTCCTAATGTAGAGACCCTGAATCTGAGCGGATGTTTCGTGGTGACGGATCATGCACTCGGACATGCATTCTCACAAGATCTACCATGCATGACGGTTCTAAACCTTAGTCTTTGCAAGCAAATTACAGACAATAGTTTAGGAAGAATTGCCCAGTATTTAACGAATCTAGAGGTACTGGAATTGGGAGGTTGTAGCAATATTACAAACACTGGTCTTTTGCTCATAGCATGGGGCCTGCGTAAATTGAAAACATTGAATTTACGAAGTTGTCGACACATATCAGATGCAGGTATAGGACATTTAGCGGGTAATAGTCCAAATGCTGCTGCCGGAACGTTAGAACTAGAAAACTTGGGATTACAAGATTGCCAGAAATTAACTGATCTCTCTTTAAAACATGTAAGTAGCGGTCTTGTTAATTTAAAAACGTTGAACCTAAGTTTCTGTGGTAGTGTGACGGATAGTGGTGTGAAATTCTTGGCGAAAATGCAGACATTACGGGAAATAAACCTTCGGAGCTGTGATAATATTAGTGACATCGGTCTCGGATACTTGGCGGAGGGTAATTCACGCGTGACAAGTCTGGATGTAAGTTTCTGTGACCAGGTGGGAGATGAAGGCTTGGTCCACTTAGCTCAAGGATTATTCAGCTTGCGAAACATCAGCCTATCTGCATGTAACATAAGCGATGACGGACTTAGCCGTCTAGTTAATACATTACAAGATATTACGACTTTGAACATTGGACAGTGTGTACGAATAACTGATAAAGGTTTAAGTTTAATAGCGGATCACCTAAAAAGTCTCCAGTCTATTGACTTGTATGGGTGTACCCGAATAACAACAGTGGGACTGGAAAGAATAATGCAGCTGCGGGGATTGAAGTCATTAAATTTAGGCCTATGGCACAAAGGTGAAATATAGGACATCTTTGGAGGACTGTCTGATAACTAGGTCAACCACAATAGGTGCTCTGCGGGGGTGTTCAATGTGCTGAATTCAGATCTTGCCAAACAGACATTTTTTGTTGATATCATTTTAATTTTTTTTGTTACTGGTTGTAAAGACAGAATCTATTTTTTGTGTTTGAGTTTCAGATGTTTATATTGTTGTGGTTTATTTTAAGTACTCTCTAATAGGAATTATTTGCATTGTTTTACTTTAATATATGCTTTATAAAGGACTGTTTATAAAAAAAGTTGGTGGTAGTTTATGTTCATCTTAATTATGCACCAGAGAAATTTAATTTTTGTGTCTATACTTTTGTGTATGTAACAATTTTGTTTGTTTTTTTGCAGTGAAGTGCTGGGAGTAGATTACTCCAATTATAAATGATTAAATATTAGCTTATCAATAAATTTAAATTATACAACTTTATATCATTTTTTTTTTAATACGAGATTCATATAAATTTTATAAACTTTTTAGGCAATGAATTTTATACTCATATATAAATAGCTTTCACGAAAAACAGTAACTGTTTAAATACATGTACTACTCTTATAAAACTAAAGTGAATACTGTGATTAAAGAAGTCATTTATATGACATATATATATAAATGTAATATACAAAGTTTTGTTAAATTTAGATATATTGAAAATAGTCTGAAACCAGGTTTTCTGACAAAAGTGCAAGATGTAATTCCCGGGCCTTGATCAGCACTGTAAACAGTGTTTATTATAGAGTTTGAATTTAAGTTTATATTAAAGGGAATATTCTCTGGCTGAAAGAACTAAATACATGTGTATCAATATAAAGATTTCAAGCAATTTTCAATTTAACTAGAAAAAAAGTGATATTATGTAGTTATTCTTGTGCTGTTTCATAGTGTAAATGGATACAATATTTATTATCCAGTGGTTTCTGACATTATACATGTACAATAAATATATTACTCTGAAAGTTAAACTATTGTGATACATATCATGGTGCAGATCCACTGTATCCAACACAGTTGTTTCATTACATCCCTTCAGAAATTAAAGATTTATTTCTTGATTAATGTAAACAAACAATTGAGAAAGCAATATATAAAAAGGGTATTACAATTATTGATGGAATAAGTATGGACAAGTTATTATTGTTAATTTTTTGTATTTTTTTAAGTTAACATGTATGATGATGTATCATAAAATTATTTTATACATATATGGAACTTGTAAATGATAGTGGATTTGGTTTTGATGGGCAATTATCAAGTTACAATTTTATTTGAAGCACCTCCATAGAAGAATTTAATGTATATCGCTATATATACATATGATTATACTGTAATATTTAAATATGGTTATTAAATACAATTTTAATTTTTACTTTAAACATGTTATAAACGATTCTTTTTGTGTTAGCCAAAATATTATAGATATGAATGAATAAAATTTTAATTATTAAACTACATAAAAATTATACTGACAGAAAGTTATACATGTATTTTTTTTTATTTGCATACAATTAATTAACTGTATATGTGAATACTTATTGGTGCATTTATCATGATTTATATTGGACTTTGGAGTATTTATCATTTAATATATGTTGTTTTTTTTTTTAAAGAAGAATGTTTGTATGTAATTGTTACTATAGACATTGGCAAAGACTAATTATAAGACATTATATCAACTGAATGTATTTCATAATTCATATATATCAAATTACAATACATATAAATTTCATTGTATATGTATATCAAAATAGTTTCTGATATATTTATAAAATGATCTGCCATACTTGTACAACAAAAAAAAATGTGAATACAGAAATTTAAAATGGTTTATAATATTTACTTCTACTTATATAAATGCATGTTGATAAACACTACAGTCAAACCACAGGCACTTGTTTCTGTAATAAATTTTTGACCCATAGTATGTGTTATTATTATACTTTTTTAAAATGAGATAAGTTCTAAGGTCAAAGTAAACAATATTTACACCCACTGAAAGTCTTGTCACAATTATGACAAAGTCACAATACACTGTGGGGCCTTATGAAAGCTTTCAGAACCAACTGTGTAAAAGGTTATACCTAAAAGTGCTGGCACACAAAAAAAATCTACTGCTCAATTTTTTAGTGCAGAGGGGGGGGTCAAAATTTGTAGCTCTCCATTGGCAAATTTGGTGGCTTCTCCATTTGAGTGAAAAAACCTAGTAACAAATACAATCAATCAACATTGTGAACATATGGAATCAGCCATAGAAAATAACAGAGATGTTAAAGGATTCAAGATAGTGTGGATAAAATTGGTGGTTGTGACTTCAGAATCACTGAAACATATCCCTGTTAACTAAGATACAGTATTTGGGGGCATAAATACTATAAACTGTTTTTCAAAACATGCAGGAATACATGTGCAAAAATTAAAAGATTTGAACACTAGCTATTCACTATTCGCAAAGGCGACTTGATGTGGAATATATAGTTGAGATTCAAAAAAGAACATCGACTTTAAAGGGACTTGGACACCGTTTCAGCTGATTTTTTAAAAACTAATTTTATAGTGTTTACAATTCCTAGTTAAGGCTATTCAAATGAACAGCAAAAATTTGAACATCATTTGTCGGGTTACAATTAAAGGAGATATACCGAACTTAAAATTCTTCATATTGTAAGGCTAGTGCGCTTGTGTCTTGTTTTTGTTTACATATAGAAAATACCATATATTTATAACAAAACAAGATTCAGCTAATAAATCACTAGAAACTGCATGTCTAATGACATAGGCGTCGGAAGCAAATTGAAAGTGGGGGGCTAATTGAAAGGAAGGGGGGGATTAAACCGACATAAAAGGTAAACCCCAATTTTCAATGCCTATATAATGTTATATATATATGCAAAATAGTGTATATTTTCCTGGTGTAAAAGTAAGCCGTCAACTGTAAAAGTCGTGTCTTCGCAAAAGTCCACACTGCGTATATATGACATATAGAATTAACTTCTTTATTGAAAAAAATCTGTATATTAATATATACATGTATAATCTATGTAAACAAAAACGTGGCACGGGCCTTGTTTGCATAACAAAGGGGTTCATTCTACCTATTCCCACTTTTTGAAAATCATGTAGAAAAAGGTAAGATTTTTTGTGGGAATAGGTGGAATGTATGTGTAAACAAATAATTAACTATGTTCTTAAATTTCAAATATCCGAAATAAATATATTTTCTCATAGATGTATTCATTATTTTCTGTCTTAAAATGTACAAAATACAGGTAAATCTTAACATCTATTGTTATTTGCAAGTGGGAATAGGTGGAATTGAGATTTCTAAAAACTGGGAATAGCTAGAAGACACCAACAAAGGTTTAGAGTTCTAGATCGGTCTATAGTGTTTCGACAACTGAGATTCAATATTTTGATAATCATTAAAAATACCTTCGTTAATTGAGTATTTGTAAGCACAAAAAAAATGGGAAAACAAATTTGAAAATTTCAGCTTTTAAGAAAAGGGAAAAGAAGCGAAAAGAAATAATATTAGATATTGTTAACTCTCGTTTCCTCTTCACTCACCTTTTTCACACCCCCCCCTTTTAAAATTCGAATGTTCGTGACTGGTCTATCACATAGGCTGATTCACATCGCGATATATGGAATGTTAATGTGGTTTGGGGCAAAAAATTAAATCTGCTGAAGAATTGGAAAAAAAAGTCTTTATTGTGTTTTTGGTGGGGAATTTTGCAAACAGATATGATGTTTCAAATATTAATCATACAAATGTATGCTGTTTGATACCAAGACATTTGATTGCCAGTGGCGGATTCAGGGGGTTGGGGGGGGGGGGTCCGACCCCCCTCCCCCGCTCATTGATTTTTTTTTTACGTGTCATTTTATCATCATTTTGTTGCATTTATAAGACTCTAATAAACATGAACCCATTTTTCTCTACAACTGTGAAATATACACCAACTACGAAACAGAAAATCACTTTCCGCTTGAACGCACACAATACGTGTACACAGGTAATCAACAGAGAGATCGGGGTAGTCCTGCATTCAGTGAAGTCACAAGGTCATATACATGAACAGTACAATATAGTCAGGTACTAACAACAGAAAACTGCATAGTTATGATACGGTGCTGCTCATTAATATTCTTTTGCTGATAAATTAATTTTTTTTTTTTTAAATACAAAATAAGGTTGGCTTAGTAAACCCCACTATTTTGACAGATTCTTCAGTTTATATAATTTTTTCTTCAGTTTGAAATATTATTAATTGTACATGTGTGTAAATATTCTAAATCATATTGACAGTATACTCAAGTAAATTGAAAAGCACTATTTAGGGATTCTAAAAAGAATTTGATTTAGATTTTTTTCAATTATAATTATTCCTAAAATCGTCAGATTTTGGATTTTTCTTAAAAGCAAAGTCTATAAAGTCTTGTTTAAAGTTAAATTAAATTGAAACACTATTTTTCCAAATTCTTAAAAATTTGTGACGATCGGTCTTTAAAAAAGCTACAAAAAGTACCAAAAAAGGAAATGGAAAAATAAACGAAGAGAAATACCCATGTAATATAAAAACTTTCGTTTCCTCTTCACTCATCCCCCCTCCCCTTCTCCTTTTCAAATTTCTAGATTCGTGACTGGTTTTTGAAATAGGCTGATTCACATCAAGATATGGGATGTTAATGTGGTTTGGGGCAAAAAATTAAATTGGTAAAAAAAAAACCTCTTTACTTGTGTCTTCAAATGCGGTAGGGAATTTTGCAAGTTTTTCAGATAAAACATGATATTTGCTTGCACAGGGGATTGCTCCAAGCATGTAATAATTATTTTTTTAAATGATATACGAGATGATTTAATACGTTAGTATTTCGTTTATCACTTTTTAAATTTAAATAATTATTACAAGTCGAGAGGAAGGGATTCTTGAAAGAGGAATCCCCTCTGATCCGCGGACGAATATAGATCGGGATCGGGGTTTATACCGGCTTCCATGAACCGGAAAAGGGAATGCACGTAGTGGCGCTGAATTCAATGAAAGGTAAATACTGTACCGGTTTTAGATGTTTTAATCAAGAAATACATGTTATGTTATTCTTTGATCAGAGTAACCTTCAATCAGCGTTTCAAAGGAGTTCGCACAAATGATAAACATCAAAGTATTGTTTGTGATGATATATTTATGAAAACGATCTTCTCTCTTAGTCTTTCTCTGTCTCTCACTTGTTCATCCCTCCTACATGTAGATGTATACTAAATAAGGCAGAACAGTCTTTAGGCTAGTCTATTCATAATTGATATAAAGAAACACAGTGAAAATAGGAAAACGAAAAAAACAAATCCGTCTTAATTCCTTTAAATTTATTTTTGATCTTGATCAGGTTGTGTAAGCTGTGTGTGTTTTTGTTTGTTTGTTTGTTTTTTTTTATATAGATTTTTCATAATTTTGTTGATTTTTTATAATAATAATGAAAGAAGGCAATAATTTGACTGAATGACAAAGCTTATATTGCCATTAAAAACTTCACAGCATTTTCAGATTTATTTTAGTAATATATAGGCTTATGAGGTTCAACATTGTCAAATGTACAAATATAAAAATGGTTATTTTTGAGAGGCACATAGATATATGTGTTCTGCAAGGTCATGCTTGGAATGATTTACAGCACGTAGGCTATTAGTTTTCATTGGTATTGTATGGACTAAGCCAAAAATGAAAGTGTTAATTTTTATGTACAGTATATACCGTCAAACCAACTTAGTTCACATGAAGATATTAAAATCATTCAGATAATTTTGTTGCAGTGCTGGAGCCTGTTAGATGCATGAGACAGTCAGAGTAAAAATTATAAAGAAAATATATACGAGTTGTTGTAAATTTCATTTTTTTTTTTTGACAAATAAGCATTATGACACATTAATTAGCATTTTCCACTTCCTTTTAAAATGTATAATACAAATGTCTTTTAGCATTTTTTGTCACCAATGAGTAAAAACACAAGATAGGTCTGAGGGTGAATGACTTTAATTACAATTATCTACGAGGGGTAGAGATAGTGTTGTATCGACCAATAACAGCAGTCCTTAGCCCGACCCAGAGGTGCCTGTCGGAATCACTGACCCCTGTTTGTCATTGTAGGATTTCCTCTGTCAGTGTCACATTTCAATGGCTTTATTCAATTAAATTTGTATCTGGGTCAGATTAATTAACATTGGAATTTGTTCACTATAAAACAGATTTGCCCTGTGCGTAATTCATTCAATGCTGTCAACGTCGTCTAACGTCTTTTAACGAGTATTTCATACAGGTAAATTGCTTTCTTAATTATTCCTCCAGTTTTTAGTAATCTACATCTTGTCCTTGGTGTGTTTTGTTGTTTTCTGTCTAATTACATTGGATTAGGTCCAATAAACTCTCTAATTAGTGGGAATATAAAGAGTTTTAAGATTGTTTAAGATTATTAAAACAGATGTTTAGTGGATTTTATGATTTATGAATTCTCATTTAAGCTTCATTAAGTGTATACAGTTGTATATTCATGGATTGGACTCTTTGGAGTTCAGTGCTATTTAGAAATAATATTATAAACATATTAGAGTATTTAGGCTAAGTATGTGTTTGAAATTTTATTAATGCACACTATGAGTTTATTAATCACATTTATTTGTAAACATGCCAAACAGTTGCTTAATTCTTTATAATTAAATACCAATCACTGTTGCATTATAATGCAATGATGTAAAGTATCTGTATAAACAGTTGTGTATATTGCCTCAGCTCATAATTAAAGTATATTTGATTATTGTTTGCAAGTGAAATCTTTCTTTAAATTTATAATTTTTTTTTAATTGATTTAAATGTTTTTGAGTACCATAAATCATGGTAAATGAAAATCCTTTTGCTGTGGCAGTGAATGCAAGTTAATTACCTAAATTGTCATATTCTTTTATAAATAATGAGTAAAAAAATGTTCATTGGCATTTTATTTCCTATACAGTTATGAGATTTACAGGTGATTGTTTGGCCCTAAAAGAAGAGCCATTCTAATAAATCAACACAGTTCTTTATGACCTGCTATGCCATGAAGTATGGAAATGTTAAGAAGAATGACCTTTAACCTTTTTCTAATGAAGACAAATTAGCTCTTGATAAATTTATCTCTTATGAAACAGCAGTAGTTATGCCCACATAATCAAAGATTAAAGGGGTCATTTGAATTTTCCATCTTGGTAAACACATTAATTTGGACATTTTTTTCAGGCAGTATTCCTTGTACGAAATATTTTTGTCAAATCCTGACATTTGAAATCTGAGAATTTTTAACACACCCAAATGTTTTGGCTATCGAGGACACATCCACTCATGAGTTCGCGGTCACATCAGTTTTAAGAACCCTGCTTCACAACTAATTTTTTGTGTCCTATATGCCGATTTTTACGTTTATGAGAATCCTGCTTTACATGTTTAATTAGCTTGTCTAGACTTAACTTAAACTGTACAGTACTTAGTCTCGTGTTCTTACTAAACCTGCTTAACTTGTACTGACCCTATGATTTTGGTTTTGTCAGATCCAGTGGTGCTGTTATCAGATTGGATAAATGGTGGAGAAGACCAGTAAAATGGTTTGTGTTGGGAACCAGTAAATAAAGGCCATGGCATCTGTGTCAGAGGAAGTCTCTCCCTATAACAGGTAAAGGTTAAACTGTGTCAGAAGTTACTCCCTATAACAGGTAAAGGTAAACTGTGTCAGAAGTCACTCCCTTTAACAGGTAAGGGGGTAAACTGTAAAATCTTTGCCTTGAATCCTTCTTTTAACAAAAAATGTCATAATCATTGGTAAAGCCTTTTCACTATTTCAATAAGTAATTTAAATGGGGGAGCAATTATTGTGTCAGGAAAATTCAACAGATCAGACTAATTTGTTTTTATGATTTATGCAAGCTTACATTTCAAATTTAAAGCACATTGATACAGTGAATCATAATTTGATTTCAATCAGACCAAGAAAAAAAACCTTGAGATATCCAAGAATTGAAATATCCAGGGTAAAAAGTAAGGCGATTGGAACTTCCAAATCACTCCAAAATATCCATATGATTCATTATAACTGAATTTTAAATGATTAAGAAATCGAAAATATCTTTTATCATATTCACGTTGTCATGAAATGGCTGTCAGAGTGTCTTTTTTTGAGCTAAATTTTATTTTTGTAGGACGGGAGTTGTGTATGATGAATTGATGTCCAGTCATTACCACATGTGGAATGAAGCCTTCACAGAGAAACCAGAGAGGTACACTGGTATTATAGAGAGGTGTAAACACTATGGACTGCTGGACAGGTGTACTAGAGTACAGGTAAATCACACAGGTGTAAACACTATGGACTGCTGGACAGGTGTACTAGAGTACAGGTAAATCACACAGGTGTAAACACTATGGACTGCTGGACAGGTGTACTAGAGTACAGGTAAATCACACAGGTGTAAACACTATGGACTGCTGGACAGGTGTACTAGAGTACAGGTAAATCACACAGGTGTAAACACTATGGACTGCTGGACAGGTGTACTAGAGTACAGGTAAATCACACAGGTGTAAACTTTTTATTTTGCTGGACAGGTGTACTAGAGTACAGGTAAATCACATTTTTGTAAACTCTATGGACTGCTGGACAGGTGTACTAGAGTACAGGTAAATCACACAGGTGTAAACACTATGGACTGCTGGACAGGTGTACTAGAGTACAGGTAAATCACAGGAGTAAACAATCCAACATTTTTTGGAATATCACCCATCGGCAATGTTGCTTCACTGAAAGGCGTGGTTTCATGAATCAGTGGGTAATAGTGTTTTTTAACAAATGTTTCTATATATACTGTAAATTCCTTATTTTTCGCGAGTACTTTTTATCGCGAACTGGGTCTTTCAGGTCAAATCGCAAGAATAATAATTCATGAATGGACGGTTGATCAAGAGAATTTACATAGATTTCAGCACCATAAAAATAAAGGCAAGTAATTTTATTTCACGTGTGTTGCTTCTCGCGAAATTACGCGATGATTAATTCCACGCGTATATTTAGGAATCTACAGTATATATGAAAGTATATCATATTTTTCCATTATTTTGTGTGACATGACTGTTCCGAAAATCAAATTTTCATCAAAATAATTTATATTTCCTGTATGAAAAATTCTAAAACCTGAACTCCTTTTTAAAGACCAGAAAAGCAAACGATGAAGAAATTTTGACTTTACATCATCCAGATCATCTGGAGATCCTGAAGAAATCAGAATCCATGACCAAAGAAGAAATGGAGACCTTATCTCAGAAATATGACTACCTGTACTTCCACAAGGTATTGTTAAAGTATGCTGCAGAAACTGTAGCACTCTCCTTGTATTCAGACACATAAACTAGAGATGTACAGATCCAAGCGTTGTAAACTAAAAAAAGAGCTGTCACTTATTTTGTTACTCCCTATGGGTATTATTTCTAGCATAATATGATTCTACTTTCCAAAAACAGTGTATCCATTAATTAACCATATATTCTAATGCAATTTGTTTTGTAAAACACATTTTGATTGGCTAATGCACTGATGTTTGAAGCAGTAAAACAACCATTTACGAGAGTGACAGCTTTTCTTTGTGATGTCATAATAGAGTGACGCAAAAACACAATGCTCCGTGACATATTTCATATAACAAAATTCACAAAATAAGACGTAAAGATCAAACAAAATGCATAGATTGCATTAGAATGGAAATAACTATCTTCTAGTTTAGTACTTGCAACCTTTAAATCAGCACTAACGATCACAAATACCAAATTAGAAGATAGCTATTCCCTAATTTTACTCACACTGAAGTAGGATTAAAGGCCATGTAACATTATTTGTTTGATTTCATCAATTCTCTCTGTAACTCTTAACAGGACATTTTAAGAAATTCTCGTCTTGCTCTGGGCTCCACACTCAACATTGTAGATGAAGTTCTAAATGGAAAGGTACGACTTTTGTCTTATTAAATACTTAATACAGTAAAACTCGGTTATAACAAAGTCACTTGGACCTATGAACATACTTGCCAACCTCCAGCATGTAAAAATCTGGTCATGACCAGATTTGGAAAGTAAAAAATCTGGTCATAACGCGTAACGACATTCACGACATATTTACCATGATTAAATTTTATACATATACTGACACGCAAAAGAAACGCAACACCCTACTTTAGAAAGAAATAATAATGTAAAGTAAAGAATTTTGTATCTTAAAATCATGAATATCTTCAATTAGGTAAACATTGGTAATTTAACGGTTGAATGATTTCCATACCATAACCGGAAGTCAAGTTTGTGTCTGCTTAACAGAAATCAAAAATTGCATGTTTAACAAAACATTTGGCAATATTATGGAGTTTTTAGGGTTTTTTACTGTTCATCATAAGTCATACATGTTAACCTATTGTGATGAAAAATAGGGAGATTCAGACCTCAAAAGCGGTAGCATTGCGCGCGTGTTGTTTAACGCTTGGATTATCGATATCTTTTATGTAATATACATGTATATTATAAGCCTTAAATGAAATAAGGTACCTACACTAATTAATCTTAAATATCAACAGCAAAGAAGAAGACAGAAACACATTAAGTTTGACATAAATTGTACAAATTCAAATATTTTTCATGCTCATCATTTTGCTTGGATTGGCTGCTTTACTTAGCCTTTTGAAGAGTGATCTTTGCTGATATAGCCTAGAAGCAATAATTCTGAATGTTCATTCAGTTTTTAAACAAAACAAATGATGACATGGTTTAATCTAGATCTAAAACAAGTTCCTATCTTTCGTTATATAAATCAGATTTCCCGCGATGATCGAAAACGAAAGTAGAGATGTGCCACATGGCTTGGTCAATCGAGTGATTTCTATTGACTTTAATGATAAAGTTGTGAGCTTCTGTGCTTTTAAAGACGATGTCAAATGTTTTCATCTAATTCTTAAAAGCTGTATCTCCTTTTTCATGGCAGGATGTTGATTAATTTTATCGTAACCAATGTAATCATTGGTAGTCTTGTGTTGTTGTCGTTGTCAAATCCTTGCTTGAAATCTATGTACAAAAAAAGCGTTTGTATGATTCCGAGTCAAATCACGCGATATATAGCGAGATTTTATGAGAGTGGCTTCAAAAATGGATACCCAAGCGAACCAAAAATACTTTAGACGCAGCTTTTGAAGAAAAGCGGTAGATTTCTGAATTAAATCGGTAGGCGGGAGATGGAGTGAAAAAGCGGTAGACTCCCGCCTAAATCGGGAGAGTTAACATGTATGCATAAGTAATGCAGCAATATTTCAAAAAAATAAACTCTCCTTTCGTTTCCCGTAACGTTGCTAAGGCTGCTTGAAAATGGCTTATTTACGCATTTCCATTGCTCTAGCTGGAAAATTTCAATGTAAAGGTGATGGAGAGTTGCTGATGCAAAATTTCACTACATTAAGTCTCAACAGGGTCTTACGTATTATATGCATTAAGGACAGTCCTTGTACCGGAAGTCCAAGAGTGGCTACACTGCTCTAAGTTAGAGAAAATTCGACCTAATCATCTGAAAAACGAGCATTTAAAAATGCCAAAGAATAATTCCTTCGCTCAGATCTCGATTTTAATAAACCTATTGTATCGTAGAAATTAAACTGCAATTGTTGTTTAGGACAGTCTTGCACGTTTTACTTGAGTGGCTTGGAGGGGGGTGTTTTAACAGTCATATTTTACTTATTAAAGTAAACAGATAAACATTTAACATTTTTATCAAATCTCTGATGATCTGAAAAGTGAGTTTAGCTTTACTTTATTCGCTTTTAAAAAATCATAAGATAAAAAAATCAAACATTTGTAGATTACTGCTTGTTGCGTTTCTTTTGCATGTCAGTATATATACAAAGTATTTGTGTATTGAGAATTCTTTTATTGAAAAGGGATTTAATTTACTATGACAAAAAAATTATACATAATTAATTAATTTGCTTTAATTTACATGTTAAAAATGAAAATTGAAGGTTTCATATTTCAGGATTGACCTGAAGTAAATGTGCCTTTTTTTTCTAAATAAGCCTTTTAAGTTTCTGCTAAATTTGAAAGCATACCAATTTCAGTTTTGAAGTTATTTTTCCTTTCTCTTAATTAATTAACTACTGCAACATGTTTTAAATTTGAAGTTAGGCCTACACTGTCTTTGATCACTTTATTTTATCTAGAATGAAAGTTTTTTATCCCAAGATTCCTTGATTATGTACATAAATAATGTTTCTCTTTTTCTTGGTTCAATCAGAGACATATGTTTGGTTCAATTTGTTCCTGTTGGCCCTGATAACGATCTAGTTCTATCGGAAGCCATTTTAATTGACTTCAAACATTGATTTGTCAAAACAACACCCAGTTAATTGTTTACACCTGCACAGATAATTAATCCATCGGCATTGTTTACGTAGATCTAAGCTTGGGTTGTAACTGGAAGTTAAAAGTGCAACCTAATTTACGAACCAAATCCGGAAATCGGGAGATTTTCGGGTTGTTCGGCAAAAATCGGGTGATAAGCATGACCCGCCGGGTCATAAAAAATAATCGGGTTACAGGTTGAAAAATCGGGTGTGACCCGACGAAATCGGGTGAGTTGGCAACTATGTATGAAATTACTTCACTATATCCATAATTCGTTATATCCATATGAGAAATTTGTTAAATTTATGTAGCTGGGGATCCAAAATAAATTCGCTATATCCATGAATTCACTACATCCGTGTTCGTACTAAACGAGTTTTGCTGTGTTTACATTTGTTGATGTCTTTCCTTATATAACAATGCTAATAAAATTGAAATTCAATTTTCAATGACATGCAGTTGGTCACATGATCAGACATTCTTGCGTATGGAAAGCAAACTGCACGAGCAATTTGGATAGTTCCAACTATGACGTCACATGACGTAGATACTTTATATTGCATTCCAAAATCAAAGTCTAAATAATGCCTAAATTGCTTCGTAACATAAATAAAAAATGTAAAATATAAATATAAGAGATAAAATATCATTTTATTATAGTTTCAGTGGGATATGACATGAAGTCGGTACATGATCAAATCTACTATAACACCCTTTCGGGCGTTATAGAATCTGATCATGTGACCGACTTTATGTCATACTCCAATGAAACTCTAAAAATGATATCTTATTTCTAAAATGGCTTAATAGCTTTTATTTTCCAACCCCCTCTGTTACTAAAGTCAAACTGGAGAAATTGATGTCAGATCTTTTTAAATACATTGGAAAAGTTTTTATAAAAATAAAAAAGTTAAATAAGAATTGAAAAATCTTTTTATTTCCAGGTACGGAATGGCTTTGCCATAGTAAGGTAAGCATGATTATTTCAAAATCTTTTTTGTTGAAAAAAATTAAGTATTTACATCTCCTCGAACATTTATTTTATAAACATATTTATTTACTGACTCTTCTGTAAATAAGGGTTACCCACGAAATTATGCACCCACAAACCAACAAATTTTTGCTTACCCAAGAACATTGACCCCCATGAATTGAAATGATTCCACAGTAATCACTATAATGATAGTCATGATCTACTGTTTTTCTGTGAAATTGACCCCTTGATGAATAAGATTATCAGATCACACCATAAAGTACAGTGTATTTGTTGCAAGGTACAAATTCAAACCATTTAGGGTATTCAGCATGTTGAAATTTAGTTTCAATTTAAAAAAAAATGCTTATAGAAATGACGCTTTGACCATCTGTCTGATATAATTTGTTTATGTTATTATTGTAGACCTCCAGGCCACCATGCGATGTACAATGAGTTTAATGGTTACTGCTTGTTAAACAACGTCGCTATAGCTGCCAAAAGAGCCCTGGATGTCCATGGACTGGAAAGGTTATTATATTCTGGAAAAAAACACACATATTTTGTGGCTTTTTATTTTTACAGTTGGAGTTACAAGGTCGAAAATTTCCTCTTGTCTACAAATCCAAGACTAGTAATAAACATGTTGACCTTATAAAGTTTATATAGCTTTAGTTTGTATAGTTAATACTGTATACATGTAAATTTTATAGTGAAAATCAGATCATAAAAAACTTGAATTTGTTGTGTTTGTTCTTGCTATTTTCTTAATACTTAAGCATAATTCTTATTGTAAATGTTGTTGCTTTCAGGGTTCTGATTCTGGACTGGGATGTCCACCACGGTCAAGGAATACAGTACTTCTTCTACAATGACCCCAGGTAGGACACCAGGAAATCTTAATTGTAAACAGAATCTTTATTAGAGTAAATATTTTTTTGTCAAATGGCCAATTTTAACAATATAAAAAAGGTTTTTTAAATTTAGAATGACTTTTCTGATGAGAAGGGATAAGTCCATATTTTATGTTTGTTATTTTAATGGTTCGCTATATTTTAGAAATCTTTGAATGAATATATTAGTCATTTTGTTGGATGAAACATGCATTTTATTTCTATATGTACATGTAATTTTACATGTATAAAAAATTCTTAAGTGTAATTTTATTAAGCTTGACTTTCTGTTTCAGGGTATTATACTTTTCAATACACAAATACTTAGACGGGGAGGAATGGCCCTATCTTAGAGAATCAGACTACGACCATATTGGTGAAGGACCGGGCACTGGATTTAATATCAATGTTCCCCTCAATGTGGTATGTAGATCAACCATACTGAATATTGTAATATGAGGGGATTCTTCTCTTTGTTATTTTGGTACAAGGTCATAAGAAGACAGCTGATGTGATAAATTTTGACATTTTCAGATTGGTTGTGACAATAGTGTTTATCTAGCAATCTTCTTCAACATTCTTCTGCCCATTGCCTATGAGGTTTGTGTGGACTTTTTATTCTATCTATAAATTTTAGATTGTTATACATGTAAACTTAAGGAATTTTTTTTCTCAAAAGCATTCTTAACAGTTTGTAATGAATGTCTATTTTTCACAGATATAAAGAACACATTCACAAAAAAGTGTTGCGACATTTTGATTTTGCCAAAATACAAAAATGTAACAAATAACATGTTGTTTATATTGATTCAGTATCTCATGATAAAATTGATCTTTCACCTACTGTAAAAGTGGTTATTTACGCTGGTTGTAAAGTACGCGTTTGTGACTGTCAAACATTACGCGTGGGTATAATATACGCGGTCACACGAGTTACCGAGAAAAATTTACGCGGCCATCGATATCGTCACTAACATCGGGTTGTTACCCTTTAAAAATGATAAGAAAAAAATAATTACAAACAAACAAAAAAAATCAATAAGAATTTATGCGGTTTATACTGTTGGATTGGTAAATATAACATCGATGTGTACAGTCAAATGCGGTGAAGTGTGAACAACTGGTGTACGCTTTATTGTCATTAAATAACCATGATAACACAAGCTCAAACTTCAAAGTGAAATCTACTTACCTGTATCTGCGTGTCGAGTTATTACAATTAATTTAATGGGACTGGTATGATTGTAGTGACTGTGAGTTTATTTAACATTTTGGACTAATCATTCAGAAAGCTATAAACGAATACACAAAGGAAATGAAAATGAGTATCGATGTTATGAAGCCTTAATTGAGTGACGCTGCTTTAAAATATTTAATATTAAGATGTGTCGCACAAGTAACATAATAAACAGTTACGTTTTCATCACAGTTTATGATATATTTACCTATTCACGTGCGTTCAATACCACGATAAATATACGACTGGTTCAACACGTCTAACAGATAAGTAATAATCTAGAACTATTCCAAATGTTGTGACCTTACGCGCGGGGGTATTTTACGCGGTTTTAAGCTTAACGCGTAAGTAGTGTAAATTTCCCCCACGCGTAAATAACCACTTTTACAGTATTTGACTAATCAGAGTAGAATCCTTTGCTTTATTTTAGTTCAACCCTCAGCTGGTGCTAGTGTCGGCTGGTTATGATGCAGCTCTGGGTTGTCCTGAGGTAAGATTTCATAATACATAAAAAGATGTAAGCTGGGTTGTTAGATGTGAAACTGCAAACAAAAGTGTCTTGATAATCTGTATGAAAGTCTGTGGCAGTACTTAAAATTAGAAATATTTATGCCCCCTTCAAAGAAGGGAGGGCATATTGCTTTGCTGCTGTCTGTCGGTTCGTCGGTCTGTCGGTCGGTCTGTCAGTCCACTCAGTTTCCGTTCATTTTCTTCACAACTGTTGCACATACTGAAATCAAATTTGGTATACAGATATATCGCATGAATATCCAGGCCACGTTCTGTTTTGGGTACAATCGCACCATCTTTGACAGAGTTATGCCCCTTGGACTTAGACAAATTTCGATTATTTCCAGTTTCCGTTCATTTTCTTTGCAACCGTTGCACATACTGAAATGAAGTTTGGTATACAAATATATCACATGTATATCTAGGCCAAGTTCTGTTTTGGGTACAATCGCCACAATTTTTGACAGAGTTAAGCCCCTTGGATGTAGAAAAATTTCAATTATTTGCAGTTTCCGTTCATTTTCTACGCAACCGTTGCACTGAAATGAAATTTGGTATACAGATATATGACATGAATATCTAGGCTAAGCTCTGTTTTGGGTACAATCGCGCCATTTTTCTCAAAGTTATGTTCCTTAGACTTAGAAAAATTCCAATTATTTGCAGTTTCCGTCATTTTCTTTGCAACCGTTGCATATACTGAAATGGAATTTGGTATACCGATATATTACATGAAAATATAGGTCAACTTCTGTTATTGGTACAATCGCGCCATTTTTCTCAGAGTTATGTTCCTTAGACTTAGAAAAATTCCAATTATTTGCAGTTTCCGTTCATTTTCTTCGCAACCGTTGCACATACTGAAATGAAATCTAGCGTACAGATTTATCAGAGGTATATGTAGGTCAAGTTCTGTTCTGGGTACAATCTCGCCATTTTTCTCAGAGTTATGTCCCTTAGACTTAGAAAAATTCCAATTATTTGCAGTTTCCGTTCATTTTCTTCGCATAGGTTGCACGTACTGAGATGAAATTTGGTATACAGATTTATCAGATAAATATCTTGGTCAAATTTTATTTTGGGTACAATCGCACCATTTTTGACACAGTTATGCCCTTTTGGACTTAGAAAAATTCCAATTTGGGGGAGGGGGGCATAAGTGTTTTACAAACATCTCTTGTTGTTTTAGATAGTTTTCATGCAACAAGTATATTTTATATATCCATCGTGTTATCTGGCAAAATTGAAAATGGAGTATGTTCATACAGATAGAGGAATGCTCACAAAGTCAAAAAAAACTTATTTATATGAATGACATTGATGCTTTATACTTTATCTTCATGTATTACCCTAGAGATGTTTTATCTTGTACAGGGGGAGATGGAGGTGACCCCCAGCTGCTTCGCTCAGTACGTCAGTCTGCTGTCCCCTCTGGCCGATGGAAAACTCTGTCTGGTTCTGGAGGTAAACACGTTGTTGATTAAGAAATCAGTTTTGTTGTTGACATCGTTATAATGAATTCCAGGTTTCTTTCAGTGAGTTTTAAAAGTCAATGAATGATGTAAATAAGGAATAAAAATCTCTGATTCTTGCATGCTTTCAATTTGTTGTAAGCATGTTTTACTGTACATAAGTATAGACTCTTAAATGTGCTACTTACCCCCCCCCCCCTCCCCCAAAAAAGTGACTTTTGCGTGTATTTGTGTATTTTATTGTATTCACATGTATATTTAAATATATCATGCAAATTTTAAGTTTACATGAATACAGTAAAACTCGGTTATAGCGAAGTCCTGGGGACCTGTGAATTTAATTCGCTATATCCAGAATTCGCTATAACCGTATAACGAATTCGTAAAATCATATAAAGTGAATTCGCAATATGCATTTTTTCCTTCAACAGGGTTTTAAACTAACTTGTAATCTTTGATCGCCATGTGGGCTACTAAACCTTGCAATTCTGGGGCCCACATCAAAATTTATTCGCCCACAAATTATCACACCTTCTGATGAATAAATATACAACAACCCCATTTTTCGTTATTTCTTTTTTTATCATATGACTCGTGTTTCTTTTCTATCCGTAGAAACATTGTGCATGACTTATCTTAATTTCAAATTGTCCTCTTTTGTTTAAAAAGATTGAAATGGTTATTAAACATCATATATTCAAGCACATGGCAGATTTCTTCACAGACACAACCAAGATACTTTTTGATTTGTTGGGCTCATTGACGCGTCAATGTCACATTCGTCGTCACAATCACTCAGACGCTTTATGTTTAAGTACTTCTCACTGGTAAATATAAAGCACTTTACTGATTACGAAAATTTCAAGAGAAAAAAAAGGAACATTCGGACAAAATTAAAAAACAAATATTTATCAACGTAAATTTTCTAATCGCCATGTGGGCTACTTGAACATAATTTTAAGTCGCCCACAAGGAATATTGGTCGCAAATGGCGAGTGGGCGACTGTTAATTTCAAACCCTGTTCAAGTATTACTATCAAAAATGTTAGGGAAGCAAATATTACTAAACATACCTTCGGTAACTAAGGTTTTATTGTGAATTGAATTTTATATACAATTGCATGAACAAAAATAAGTCATTTCAATTTATAAAATTTTGAGATCTTTGAAAGTTCGTTATAAAAGATGTAAATTTCATTATATTTCACTTCAACGGGACCCAAAATCAGTTTGCTATATCAGTAAATTCGTTATATCAGAGTTCGTTATAACCGTAAAATTTTACAAGGATTTGTTAAGAATTTTGACGGGGACCCAGAAAAACTTCGCTGTATCTGTGAATTCACTATATCCGTGTTCGTACTAAATGAGTTTTACTGTACCTGTTATGCAGGCTTCTCTATCAAGAATTTAATCTCAATTTTTTTTCTGTATTTGATTCTTTTCTGTGTGAAGTATGGTATGATTGCTGTTATTAGTTGTGATTAACGTTACGTAAATTATTAACTAAATGACCTATTGTAGGGAGGGTACTGCATTAAGACCTTGGCTGAGGGAGTGGCCTTGTCCCTGAAGGTCTTGTTAGGTGACCCGTGTCCTAGAGTCGATCCCATTACAAGGCCCAATAACAGGTAAGGAAGGCTTCTTATCTCAGATGTCACGTAAATATCAGAGATTAAAACATTTTCATGTAGATGTATTAATTTGTGTCTTATATAATTTTGTAAGGGTGTTATTGATTTATCAAATTGCAGCTTTACAAACATTTTCCTAGACTACAATAAAACAACACCAATATCTCAGATACATATACTGTGTATGCAGAATTTTTAGCGAGGATTAAATTTTTGCATTATTAGCGATAGTGTTGAGATCTCTAAAAAATAACTATGTTTTATTTGTTTTAGCATCTTAAGTGAGCATTTTAAAATTGCTAAAAGTACATCTTGCTAAAAATAAAATATCATTTTTTAAGGACATCCGACAAATTGTTAAAGACATATTGCTAAATTTGTGTCTTGCTAAAATTTCCTTTTATACAGTATATAGCATATGTTGAAGTGATTTGACTGTTATCTCAAATCCTCAGATGTTGAAACATAATATGTCTTGTCAAGTTTGAGATTACAATATTTGACTGTACACGCTTATAGCTATAGTTGGAAACCTTCATTTCTACATGTTCCTTTTTATGTAGCCTCTCTATAAAAGAATATTGAATGTATGTATATTTGTGGGTGATATACATTTACTTGGTCTAACCTTATTTTTTCAGTGCAGTATCTTCCATTCTAAATGTAATCAAGGTGCTACGACCATATTGGAAATGTTTACAGTTACAAGGGGATTTATCATCTATTTCACATAACTCAAATACAGGGGTGCTGGACTGGCCCCCAAAGTAAGTGGTCACTATTTGGGGAAAAAAGTTGACCCTGTGTTTAAATCGAAATTAAAGTACAAAAACAAGTTTGTTTCAATTTTGTATTATTTAACATAGGGATGGAGTAAACTTCTATACACACAACATGCCTGAGTCATTTTCACTTCACCAGGAATGCTGGAATCCAGGGGTTATGGAAAGTGCCCACATCATAGATGCCCAGGTGGATGAACTTTTGGCTCGCACTGTACACAGGACGACTAGACACAAGTAAAGTAGGAATTTGTGCTGTGGTAGACTGGTGTTGACTTTAGTGTACAACTGTAGTTATATAATTAGAAATATTTAGAACCAATTTTGTACACCCCCTTATTGGAAGAGTCGGGGGCTTTCTCTGTCTGCAGAGAAAAGAAACTTGCCAATCATTTTTAGCTCACCTGAGCCAAAGGCTCAAGTGAGCTTTTCTGATCAAAATTTGTCCGTGTCTGTCGTTGTCGTAGTCGTCGTCATCATTGTTGTCGTCGTCGTCGTTGTTGTAAACTTTTCACATTTTCTTCTTCTTCTCAAGAACCACTGGGCCAATTTCAACGAAACTTGCTACAAAGTATCCTTGGGTAAAGGGGATTCAAGTTTGTTCAAATGAAGGGCCACGCCCTTTTCCAAGGGGAGATAATTATGAATTAGAGAAAAATTAATGGCATTTTTTAAAAAATTTCTTCTCAAGAACCACTGGGCTAGAAAAGATGAAACTCATGTGGAATCAACCTCAGGTAGTGAAGATTCAAGTTTGTTCAAGTCATGACCCCCAGGGGTAGGGTGGGGCCAAAATGGCCGATCAAAGTTTTACATAGTACAGTGGCTGGAACGTTATTGTTGACAAACCAATCGTGTAGAATCGTTCGTGTATCGTGAGTGATCGTTCGTGTAACGTGCAAGATCGTTCGTGTATCAGACTCAATCGTGTGCGTTTTTAATCGTGCGCGATCGTGCGTTTAGAATCGTGTAAATTTCGTTTTGTAAGTTTTTATCGGAATGTTATTTGTAAAATAAGCATTTCCCTTGTTTGTTTTTCTTAATTTATTTATCAAAATCCAAATAAAATGAAAAAGCACAATTTACATAATAGAATGCTGAACGAACTAATTATCGCCCGTAAACAAGCAATATAGTAAGTCGTACAATATTAAGTTCTTGTCAAATAGCGCGATCAATATTGTGATAAACCGTACTTAGATCTTTAACGCCTTTTTGAAAAATCTGATTTTAATTATTATTTACTTCTTATTGTGGTCAAGATAATCTTGAAATCAATTCATTGAAAATAATATATATATTTTTTTTTACAAAGAAATAAACATTTCTCAATGCTTAAAAAACTAGTTAGTCGACAAATATACACGGACACGGCATGATTTTCGGGAGTTTTGATTATCTGTGTTTATCTCTTGAGCCTATTTGTAATTAATTAATTTTAAATTTCTGCAAATAAAAAAGTTGAATAATTGGCAAGTTTATCAGACATTGAATCATTGGAAACATAAGGATAAAATTTGTAATTATAATTTAAGTCATTCCATGCTGCCATTTTTGTTCAATCGTATCCCCCTTTCTGCATATCATGATATCCAGTTCAATCAAATTATACGACCCACATACATGTACATCGCCTAATAGAACGAACAAAATCCGTTTTTTTTTTTTTTGATCGGAGAATTACCTTAGAAATAATTATTTTTAATCTAAAATATTAAGTCTTGCATATATTTAGTTACAGAAATATCATTTTCCGTTTTTTTCTTCAAAGTCTATGAAATCATATTGATAATTCTTTGAAATCTTAAATAAGTATTAAGCTGTATTTCGTTTTGAAAATATTGATTCCTATTTTGAACTATTTTGAGTGAAGAATCCTGCGTTTGCGTTAACAATCGTGTAAGATCGTGTAACGTGTAGAATCGTGAACGTGAAAGATCGTTCGAGTAACAGGTTTAATCGTGCGGAATCGTTCGTGTAACGTGATCGTTCATGTAAGTTGTCAACAATAACCTTCCAGCCACTGTAATATATAGGAAAAATCTTTAAAAATCTTCTTCTCAAGAACCACTGGGCCAGGATTGATGAAACTCATGTGGAATCATCCTCAGGTAGTGTAGATTCAAGTTTGTTCAAATCATGACCCCCGGGGGTAGGGTGGGGCCAAAATGGCCTATCAAAGTTTTACATAGGAATATATAGGAAAAATCTTTAAAAATCTTCTTCTCAAGAACCACTGGGCCAGGAAAGATGAAACTCATGTGGAATCATCTTTAGGTAGTGTAGATTCAAGTTTGTTCAAAGCATTGCCACTGGGGGTAGGGTGGGGCCAAAATGGCCGATCAAAGTTTTACATAGGAATATATAGGAAAAATCTTTAAAAATCTTCTTCTCAAGAACCACTGGGCCAGGAAAGATGAAACTCATGTGGAATCATCTTTAGGTAGTGTAGATTCAAGTTTGTTCAAAGCATGACCACTGGGGATAGGGTGGGGCCAAAATGGCCGATCAAAGTTTTACATAGGAATATGTAGGAAAAATCTTTAAAAATCTTCTTCTAAAGAACCACTGGGCCAGGAGAGATGAAACTCATGTGGAATCATCCTCTGGTAGTGAAGATTCAAGTTTGTTCAAATCATGACCCCCGGGGGTAGAGTGGGGCAAATGGCCAATAAAAGTTTTACATAGGAATGTATAGGGAAAGCTTTTAAAATCTTCTTTTCAAGTACTTCAAAGCCATGCTTAGTGATATTTTTAGGAAATCATCCTTAAGTAGTGTAGATTCAAGTTTGTTCATATCATGACCCCCTGGGGGTTAATATTCAAGCCCCCTCCCCCACCCCTCCTCAGTAAACTTTCAGTTTTTATCTGATATGTGCTTTTTCCTAGCCAATTGCTCAGGTGAGCGATGTGGCCCTTGGGCCTCTTGTTGATCGTTGGTGCTAGGGTTTTGCATTGCAAAAGTTATAATATGACAAGGTGTTTGATTTCCAACATTTTTTACAACTTGACATTGTTTTTGGAATTTACTGTACTTTTGAAGAACTTTTTAACTTCTATGCCTCTAAATAGTTGCTTCTAGGACTTTTATATTTCATCGATATATTCCTTGGACATGAGCTTTCTTAGTGTATAAATATTTTTGACCTCTTGACCTTGACAACTGAAACAGGCCTACTTTAGAATTAAAAACTTTGCCATAACTTCAAATTTTTTTGGGTCTAGGGCTTTTATCTGTATAACTTGACACATGCCCTTTCTTTGATTATAAACATCTCTGACTTCACAACCTTAAAATATGACTAACTTTTGGAAGTCTTTTGATTTGGCCATAACTTAGACAGTGGACAATAAATGCTAGGGCAACATTTGAAAGAATTCAACCTTGGTCATAAGCTGCCAGACCGGACAGCAGCTGTGTTTCACATATCACCTTGGATTTAGCCCTCCCTTGTCTGAACTTAATTAAAAGCATTGTGTATCTTTATATCAGCAACTACTGGGTCCTGTAAAGTAAATGACTGCAGCTGTTTTCATTATGACATATAGTTTTTGGATTGAATACTGTAAAATCACATATTTTTGTGGGGGCAAATTTCTGAGGTTTGGGAATAAAATTATTGATATTTGGGGATTTGACTTCATGATTGGAGAAGTGTTGAGTAATTATGCATATTAAATTTTATATTTTATAGTAGTAATGAATATGTTGGTCTCTCAATTCTCCATACCTGGAAAATATTAATGAAAATTAAACTCCCACCAAAATTAGTGATTTCACAGTAGCATTGGTCACAGTGATATTTTGATCGCTCTAATTTTGTAGACATAATGTTTGCCTTCAGAGATGTGTTTTGTTCAGACTAGCTCTATACCTTTCTCTATTTCTATACTGTATAATATATTTGAAATTGAGGAATGAATTTTATTGCAGAGTCGGCATTGTATATGACGAGGCAATGTTAAATCACAGAGATCTGGGCTATGGGTAAGGGCAGTAACTCGTAGAGTACTTCATTTTTCTATTTTCAACAAAGGTTTATGAATTTTAAGAAAATAAAGAAAAATGATCTATAAAAACAAGTAAATTGGTTGCATTTTATATATAGATGTATTAATAATTCTAAGAAATGAAAGTAAAAATTTGATGGACATGTATTAGTTGCTATATAGTACTATATACATTAAAAAAAAAATATTTGCAAAAATGAAATTCAGTGAATACTCAGGAATCAAGGAGACCAGTAGCTTAAGTATGATAAAAACTGTACTTAAAGTTATTCCTCTTTGAAATTGAAAGGACTAAAAAACCTAGTCAGACATTCAAGTACAGATATAAGAGGGAAAAATCATCACTTTTCTGCAGGGATGACTTAAATCTATACACAGAGATTCTCACTGTAAAATGATTAACTATCAAATTCGTCACTTACGTACATGTTAATAAACAAACCTGTTTCCATTACAGAGGTTTTGAGGAGGGCCCTGAAAGAGTGGAGAGAATTGTTCAGACACTGAAAAAGAATGGGGTCTGGGACAGGTGCTACCACATACAGGTAGGGACAGGTGCTACCACATACAGGTAGGGACAGGTGTTACCACATACAGGTAGGGACAGGTGTTACCACATACAGGTAGGGACAGGTGCTACCACATACAGGTAGGGACAGGTGTTACCACATACAGGTAGGGACAGGTGCTACCACATACAGGTAGGGACAGGTGTTACCACATACAGGAAGGGACAGGTGTTACCACATACAGGTAGGGACAGGTGTTACCACATACAGGTAGGGACAGGTGTTACCACATACAGGTAGGGACAGGTGTTACCACATACAGGTAGGGACAGGTGCTACCACATACAGGTAGGGACAGGTGTTACCACATACAGGAAGGGACAGGTGTTACCACATACAGGAAGGGACAGGTGTTACCACATACAGGTAGGGACAGGTGTTACCACATACAGGTAGGGACAGGTGTTACCACATACAGGTAGGGACAGGTGCTACCACATACAGGTAGGGACAGGTGCTACCACATACAGGTAGGGACAGGTGCTACCACATACAGGAAGGGACAGGTGTTACCACATACAGGAAGGGACAGGTGTTACCACATACAGGAAGGGACAGGTGTTACCACATACAGGTAGGGACAGGTGTTACCACATACAGGTAGGGACAGGTGTTACCACATACAGGTAGGGACAGGTGTTACCACATACAGGTAGGGACAGGTGTTACCACATACAGGTAGGGACAGGTGCTACCACATACAGGTAGGGACAGGTGCTACCACATACAGGTAGGGACAGGTGTTACCACATACAGGAAGGGACAGGTGTTACCACATACAGGAAGGGACAGGTGTTACCACATACAGGTAGGGACAGGTGTTACCACATACAGGTAGGGACAGGTGTTACCACATACAGGTAGGGACAGGTGTTACCACATACAGGTAGGGACAGGTGTTACCACATACAGGTAGGGACAAGTGTTACCACATACAGGTAGGGACAGGTGTTACCACATACAGGTAGGGACAGGTGTTACCACATACAGGTAGGGACAGGTGTTACCACATACAGGTAGGGACAGGTGTTACCACATACAGGTAGGGACAGGTGTTACCACATACAGGTAGGGACAGGTGTTACCACATACAGGTAGGGACAGGTGTTACCACATACAGGTAGGGACAGGTGTTACCACATACAGGTAGGGACAGGTGTTACCACATACAGGTAGGGACAGGTGTTACCACATACAGGTAGGGACAGGTGTTACCACATACAGGTAGGGACAGGTGTTACCACATACAGGTAGGGACAGGTGCTACCACATACAGGTAGGGACAGGTGTTACCACATACAGGTAGGGACAGGTGTTACCACATACAGGTAGGGACAGGTGTTACCACATACAGGTAGGGACAGGTGCTACCACATACAGGTAGGGACAGGTGTTACCACATACAGGTAGGGACAGGTGTTACCACATACAGGTAGGGACAGGTGCTACCACATACAGGTAGGGACAGGTGCTACCACATACAGGTAGGGACAGGTGCTACCACATACAGGTAGGGACAGGTGTTACCTTAATAGGTAGGGACAGGTGTTACCACATACAGGTAGGGACAGGTGTTACCACATACAGGTAGGGACAGGCGCTACCACATACAGGTAGGGACAGGTGTTACCACATACAGGTAGGGACAGGTGTTACCACATACAGGTAGGGACAGGTGTTACCACATACAGGTAGGGACAGGTGTTACCACATACAGGTAGGGACAGGTGCTACCACATACAGGTAGGGACAGGTGCTACCACATACAGGTAGGGACAGGTGTTACCACATACAGGTAGGGACAGGTGTTACCACATACAGGTAGGGACAGGCGCTACCACATACAGGTAGGGACAGGTGCTACCACATACAGGTAGGGACAGGTGCTACCACATACAGGTAGGGACAGGTGTTACCACATACAGGTAGGGACAGGTGCTACCACATACAGGTAGGGACAGGTGTTACCACATACAGGTAGGGACAGGTGCTACCACATACAGGTAGGGACAGGTGCTACCACATACAGGTAGGGACAGGCGCTACCACATACAGGTAGGGACAGGTGTTACCACATAAGGTAGGGACAGGTGTTACCACATACAGGTAGGGACAGGTGTTACCACATAAGGTAGGAACAGGTATTACCACATAAGGTACGGAGAAGGTAGGAAGAGGTGCTACCACATACAGGTAGGGAATGTTGATCTTCAGACTGAACATTACAATGTCAGTAATAACAATCATATAAAATTCATGAATTAGGCCACGTTTTGTGGTTATTTTCATGATACCACTGATAATTCTTGCAAAGCATGGAGGTTAGTCTGAAAGATGCAAAGGAAGTGAACCACTTTGTTGTTAAAAAATTTGTATACATTTTACTGTAATAATATTTGAGAAAGTACTTTTTCTATTACAATAAAAATTCCAAAACAGGTTATGGGGTTAACTTTGTTCTTCATTCCAGGGTCGAAAAGCTTCAGATGAAGAAATTTGTCTTGGTCATGGGTATGTATGTCACAATAATAAAGCTTAAAACTTGTATATTGATGTTAAAACAGTGTACAGATTTATATGATTGTGAAGAAGACATTAAGACTTTGACTGATGTCAGTTAGACATGTCAGTGAGAAGCAAATTTAGAAAAATTGCAGAATATATCCATCTATAATCAGTATATTTTACATTGTGATGTGTATATTTTGTAGGGAGGATCATATCCGTCGATTCAAGAAAACCATGACAATGGGAGAAGAGGCATTAAAGGTCTACCAGGAAACCTTCAAGTCCATCTTCCTATGTCAGGTGAGAGTTTTATCCAAATCTTTACCATACACATGTACATGCAATATTGTTTACTCAACCTTGTTTACAGGGATCGACACTAACTTTGTTGTCATACCATAACATTTAAACCATAGTTTTAGCTAGCCATTTCTAATTTCTACTAGCCCTGTTCATGTATTGGTTGTCCAGCAGCTGAAGGCCGAGTAGCGACGAGGGGGGTAGGTGCGGGAGGGGGTTTCCCCCTCCTGCTGGTGGGGGTACAGGGGGCCTCCCCCGGAAAATTTTGAAAATAGAGATGCCAAATCCTGCAATCTGGTTGTATTTTGAGTGAAAATTACCGGTATATGTCACATTGATAATTATTTTTGTTGCTCTGAGTGAGTATTTGGTAAATTTTTTAGTAGCCCTGCAGGGCAAGTTTAAAGGCATGTTGAGTAGCCCGACCTCAATATTCAGTTGTCCCGGGCCAGCGGGCTACCGTTAGTGTCGAACCCTGGTTTACAGTTAAACAATCTGTCTTTGTTTTCAGGAAAGTTTTACCTCAGCAGCCTGGGCAGTGGGCTGTTCTTTATCTGTGATAGACTCCATATTGTCCAATCAGGTAAGACCTTACTAGATACTACTTTATCTCTGATAGACTCCATATTATCCAATCAGATTGGTTCTTAGATACTTTCTTATCTTTGATCGACTTATTATTATCCAATCAGCTAAGACCTTAGATACATTGTATTCCTTATTTGTAACACACTCCATATTGTTCAATTAGGTAACGTCTAAGATGCATATCTTAGGTGTCGTTCCAATGGACTTCATATTTGAACAACTTTGACGAAATATTTCACTAACACAGAAAGCCTTTCTTTCATGCTTATAGAATTTGAATTGTTAATTTATTGCCCATTGCCCATTAAAGCTGAGTAACCAAAGTAACCAATATTTTTGGATTCAACTGACTCTTCTGATCATACCTGTATGTGTCTGTAATACACATATCAACAATTTAACAAAGTTTTAAAATTGTACCTTCATGTTTACAATGTATTTATTATTTCTTAACATGTATTTTATGTATTTACAGTGTCAGAGTGGTGTTGCTATAGTAAGGTGAGACACAGCAATAATATTATTGTTTTAAAACAAAGAAACAAACAATAAAGCTGCACATAGTTCTCATTATTAGTATGATTTTTTTAAATGAAGATGTCACTATGGCATAATTTTAATTAATTTCTGAAAAAAAACATGCATGTCAGAGTATATATAAAAAGTTTTGATAGAATATGCTAAAATTAAACTGGGATGTAAACTTTCATATGAAAGGTTCTATAGTCTCTTTGTTACTTGTATGTATTTCTTTACTTCCCCTAGGCCTCCTGGTCACCATGCTGAGAGAAACACAATGATGGGCTTCTGTCTGTTCAACAATGTAGGAATAGCTGCTAAATATGCCCAACAAAATTACAATGTACAAAGGTAAAAATACAGGGATAGCTGCTAAATATTCCCAACAAAAATACAACATACAAATGTAAAAACAACGAAACAATGTAGGATCAGCTGCTAAATATGCCCAACAAAAGTACAACATACAAAATTAAAAACAACAATATAGGGATAGCTGCAAAATATGTCCCCCCCCCCCCAAAAAAAAATACAACATACAAAGGTAAAAACAGCAAAACAAGGGATAGCTGCTAAATATGCCCGACACAAATACAACGTAGAAAAGTAAATCTTAAAAAAGTCTTTTCTGTATGGTTTGTTTTGTGTTATATTTGACTTGACAATATATCTGCATTTCAGGATCCTGATTGTAGACTGGGATATCCATCATGGAAACGCAATTCAGAGCCTCTTTGAAAATGATCCAAGGTCAGTCAGTCTTAAATTTATGGAACAAAATTCTGTTGTTTAGAAACAAATTGCTACATAAGTAATTACTGCTTTTCTAAGGTCAGGCATTTTATAGCTCATAATATTAAAATATTTAGTAATGCTTGTAATGTTTTATTGCAGTGTACTATTTATTTCACTACATCGTTTTGACAATGGATCATATTACCCTTACGGAGGGAAGGGTTACCACAAACAGACGGGGGGTCCACAGGCCCAGGGACACACAGTCAACATTGCCTGGAATGATGTAAGTGTCCAACTTCTATACTGACCACATATAATGAATGATGCTTGTTGTAACACTCTGAATTCAAGTTCAGAAAGAAAATCATTCATTTTAAAATACATGTTTATTATTATGCAGTTGGTCAACAAAAAATAATTTTCATTAGGAGTTAAGTAGAGGATATGTCAATAAGTTTATGTAGATGTACCTGATGTTTTTTGATGAGTACTTACTCTTTGTCAGGGATCAAAAGGAGATGCAGATTACATCGCAGCCTTCCACCATCTGGTGCTGCCCCTAGCTTATGAGGTTAGTCATCCCCTGGTTTAATGTCACTTTTATGGTTACACACATTTTCCCATGATTACTGGGCAGATAGGGCATTTAGAGTAGCTCTGAAAGAGAATTAATCCTTAGGATGATCAGTGTGTGTCCTTCTGAATCTGAGCAGTGTGTCCTTTTCTTGTTTCAGTTTGCCCCAGACTTGGTGTTGGTGGCAGCAGGTTTTGATGCTGAGAAGTCAGATCCTCTGGTAAGTGACAAATGGAGGCTGAATTTGTTCCAAAGACAATCAGAAGTAGAATACTTAGAATGTTTATTGATTCCTATGCATTTTTAAGGTGTAAAACAAAATACACTGTATATAAAACTTATGCTCTGATGCAACGTTTAAAAATATCAATCTACGTTGTACGTAGAATTTGAATTATTAATTATATTTTCTATTTTTAGGGTGGTTACCGACTGTCTCCAGCCGTGTTTGGTCACATGACCAGGATGTTGATGGGATTGGCTGATGGGAAGATTGCTCTTATTTTAGAGGTGGGTATCAAATGTGTCTACTTTTCTTGCTTTAATTTGTACATATATTGGACAAAAATTTACATTTACTACCAATAACAGGCACGTATGAAGAGTTAACAAGCTAATGAATTCCCATGCTGCAAATCCAACTGCTATGCAAATATTTTATTTGCAAATCAAAATCAGTGAAAAAAACCTTCCGTAACAAGTAATTGAAAAGTTTTTTCCCCCATAAATTTAAAGTCTTTTACTTTTGTTGTATATTCCTGTAAGTATTTCAAAAACTCTATATTGACAGGGAGGTTACAGTTTGGAGGGAACTTCTCAGGCTATGAGTCTGTGTATAGCCTCATTACTAGGAGACTCCTTACCAAACATTCACAATGCAGTGCCCAGTAAAAGGTAAGGCTATGAAAACATGGGTTAAAGATAGAAAAACCAGAAAGTGATTTCCTTCAACAAATTAATTCCGATAACAGCTATTTTCAGTGAATGAATTAAAATGATGTGTAAAAAGAAAAGAATTATTCTTATATCAAAATGCATTTTTGTAGTACATTTTTAAAATTTCTAAACATTTAGATCTTTACTTTTTCTTTTACAGTGGTGTAGAAGCTATTCGTAAAACAATGGAAGTTCAAGAAGAATTCTGGAAGACAATTTTATACAGAGGTATGAATAGTCTAGGATGAATTACAAATTGCCTCTCCGAGTAAAACCTGCTATTCTGAAGTATAAAACAAAAGAAAATATCATCCCAGCTCTCAACCCACCTCTTCTTTCAATTTTAACAAACAACCAATTAATTTTCCAAATAAAAGCAAAGTATATTGAGATCATTAAATCTAATGTAAAGGTTAACCTGTACTATGTTAATAATGGTCAAACATAATGACCTGCAGTATCTTTAAAAATCACACCATCACTCTAATACATGTAATGATCTTTCATCTTCACATGTGAAAAATACAAACGCAAATCACTGCAAGTCATTCTGAACTCAATTCAAACCAATAGGATCCATTCATTTTCAATATTTTATTATTTAAATCCACAGGATGACATTGCAAATTAATTCAACACAGATGAAGTTTTTAAACTATTGCATGAGTGTTTGCCGTGTATAAAGTCAATTCCTGTGTATATGTCAGTCTTCAAAGCATTAACACAGATAAAAAATTAAGCTCTACTTTCACCATGAAAATCTTTGCCTTAAATTCATGTATTTGAGTAAAATCAAGAAAGAAATTTTATTTTTGGTGATGAAATTTTTTATTTCAGTTGATCTTCCAACTCAGCAGCAGCTAGAAGTGATCAAAACTGAGAAAGAAAAGAAGAAAACCAGCACATAACAGTAGGGGGAGGGAATAGGAGAGAACAAAAACCTTACCTTCCTTATCAAAAATTATAGTCTTTTAATCTTTGCATTGCCTTAATATTATACTGACAGGGGACTGTACAGTATATTTGTGTGTCACTGTGTTATAGATGTATAGAAAATACTGCAGGTTGAAAAAATTATGAGATTGGTTTTATTACTTGCATTTTGTAAAACATTCTTGCCATTCATGGGTGGGCACTATTAATGTATTTTTTTAATCATTAGTTTTCATTATCTAAGAGTAGTATCAATGAAATATCAGATGAACTGTAGGTAGCATAATGACAGTGCGGTATTATCTGACACTAAAAAGTCAGGTTACGAGTCAATTATTTTTAAATAGGAGGCAGTTTACAAAATTATTTTATTACTTGCCTGTAAAGCATGTTTTACATAGTTGAAAAGAGCATGTATCTTTCTGGTTGTTTTTCATCATCTGGAAACCTTCTTTGAACAGAATTTGATTGCAAAATTGAATCAATGGAAGATGTACACATACACTTTTAGAACTTCCAGTAAGACATGCGTTTAGTATAATTAATCGCCAGGGAGATTAGTGAATTGTACAGGTGTCAGATTGATTTTTTCACTAAACCTGATATGCTCAATATATTGACTCTAAGATGGTTCTACTTTACACTTTATTAATATTTATGTGAAATTTTTAAAATTAATAAGGATTTGAAAAAAAAAATTTTTAGAAGGGCAGTCAGTTCAGTACATTTGATAGTGACTGGTTCAGATCAATAAGTTTAATAATTACCTATACTGTAGTATTTACCTGTGCTTTTTATTTCATGACATGACGTGTATGCAATTCTCAAGTATTCCATTTATCAACAAGCTTCTACCTCTTGTTTTATAAATTATGCAAATTATTTATTCATTAATATTTTTTTAACTCTATGTAAATTGTGAGTTTTTGGTAATATTTAAGATTACTGTATTTAATTTCAATGGCATGCAGAAACACCATATAACACTCTACAATTTATAGAATTTTTTTTTTTTTTCATTCAAAATATTTTTGTTGCCATTGTGATTAAAGATTCAGGGTAGATAGTTTTTGATCTCTCTGTCTGTCCCCCAAAACTTTAATTTTTGAACTGATGATTTCTGGGCTGTCATATTCACAGTTGTTTTCATTGTGCCAAGACGTTTGGTACAAACATTTTTGTGACCTTGACCTTGGAGTTTAGATTTCATTTGGCTTGGTAATAACTTGAGTGATGAATGCTGCGGCTCTCACATTTTTTTTTGTGTTGTGACTTAGCCTTTGAGCACCGATATTTTGCCCTTATGACCCTAGGGTTTGAGCTACAAAAAAAAAACCTTGTCAAAAACTTTTAAGTGTTGTTGCTCCTGTGTTTCATTATCAAAAGACCTTTCTTTGAGTATCATCATTTAAGAGCACATGACCTTGACCTGCAGTTTCAGTTACTTTTGAAAAATTTTTTAAATTTTTATCATAATTTATGCAGTAAGACCTTTCCTTTTGTTTCAAAATAGTTTTACCACTTGACGTAGAAGTTGGATATATTATTGAAAAATCTACCTTATACGGGGCTTCAGTGCATCACAAAGACATCTTGTTTTTTTCTCTGACTTTTAAAGCAGGAAATGTACATTGTGTGAAGAGCCTTACTTTAGTGCTTAAAATCTGTCTTTGCAGTGGAAAAGAGTGGATGCATTTCTTTAACACGTTGAAAGCAGATGGTTTCTTTGTATCAAATCAATCTTTCCGATACTGTATACAGGGAAATTTTCGTCCCCGTTTTATTCCCCCCCCCCCCTTTCACCCTAATCACAAGTGGGCGAATTTACAACGGGGTGAATTCAAGGAAAAGAGAATGTTTTGTTAAATAGAATTGTAATTTAAAACGGGGCAAAATTGTTTGCAAGAGAAAAAGGGGGAAAATTACATGGGGCAAAAACAGCCCTGTATACAGTACTTATACCGACTTACTGTTTTTTGTTGCCAATTTGCTGTTGTGGTTTCAAAATTTTAAGTTTTACAAATCAATTTAGACAGGATTTTGCAGATATTGATGTTTAGTGTTGTGTCAGTGTGAGATCTTGATACTTACCCATTCTTTTATTACTGCTGAAGTGTAGACGTTTAAATGGTTTTTATATGTATTTCAACCATTATCCTGAGCAGAATCTGCCTTATATAACAATAGACACAATACTGTTCTTATAAACAAATTCTTAGTACTCATATTAATACAATTGTTCATTAGGCCATCCTTAGAAAATTGTTTGGATGCCCACTCCTGACTGACTGGCTAAGAATGGTCCCACTCAAAAACTTTTTTTTACTTCCCAGGCATCGTCTCAAGCCACAGTCCGGAATCTGTGTATAGCCCTCTCGTACCCTTGGCTGCTTGATCACTACGAGTATTAAAAGTGTTGTAATCTTGACTATTTATGCCTCTCTATTGTGACGTCATATTCAGCCGATGACAAGTTTTGTTTCCATTGCAATTGAAATCAACAATTTACATACTAGTAAGTAGTATTTTGTACACTGTGATTGGGTATTCAAAGGTCGCACCAAAGTTCATTATCCGACTATGCTTTACTCGCATATGTCAATACATGTATTTTAATGAGCTATGGCATATTCTCATCTCATGCAACCACGGCCAGAATGGGAGAGGATCATACAGTTTTGCCGTGGTTTGCAACGATGCCCACAGGAATCAATAATTATTTTATGAGGATTGTGTACTCTGGAAAATATGATTTTAAAAAAGGTGTTGAAATTTTCAAGGAAATTTTTTTTTCACTACCTACCGACCCAATATTTTCAGACCGAGTTGAGAGAGGGCAAACAAACATTTTTCTAAAGTTGGCCTTGTGTGTCATGGTGTATGAAAATCAAAACTTTACATGTTTACAATGCTACATGTTAGCATGATTTTATCTTATTTATTTGTTATAGGTATTGAGATATATTTTTATGTGTTGTAAGGTTTACATTTAATTGTTTTTGTTGTTGAACAGTTTGCAGTTAATCTGTAGTAGGCCTGCAGTCCAGTAGAGTAGTCTGCTTAATAATTTGTCATCAGACCTGTGGCATCTTTAGCTCACCAGGAGAAAACTGATAATTTGTCATCTGCTATCAATAATAAACCATAGATACTTGACAGGTGTATTCCTCAGACAATATTTTGGACATAGGCATAGAAAACAAATTGAAAGAGGGGGCTTAACCAACAAAAATATGTAAACCCCAATTTTCAATGCCCATATTATCATATGTCTATCTTTGAAACCCCCAGTTCCGACACCTATGATGGATTTGTCACAACATGTCATCTAGTAGACTTTTGAAATAATTGGGGGTTCAAAATCAAACATATTGTCATTATGTGGAGAAAATATTTTACTTTTATCAATACTCTTAGAGCAATACTTTACATCAGATACTAGTATACAGCATCACTTTGTAAAATTGTTGTAAAATTGAAGTAATTCACTTGGGTGAGCTAAAGTACCTTTGGTCCACTGATGTCTCACAATATGTTTAGCAATGCAATTATTTTATTCAAAATTATTTTTGTTAGTCTAAAAGAATATTTTTTTTCACAATCATTAAAATATACTTGTATGTGTCATGTGATTTAAATTTATTCAAAACAAGCAATTTGAAATTAATTTTCTAATGGCTGTTGCTTTTTAAAAAAAATAAAATTGAAACAAAATTGTCTTTTTTTATAGAGAGGTATCACAGGCACTTGTTTCGAAAATAAAATTTAACCTATAGTATAATAATAACACAAGGTATCTAACTCCGAATTACACTCAGTACCCCCTCCTCAGAAAAGCACTCATTTACACTTTCAGATTAAATGCACTGGTCAAGTTTTATTAGCTCACCTGAGCCGAAGTCTCAAGTGAGCTTTTCTGATCACAATTTGTCTGTCGTCTGTCGTTGTAGTCGTTGTCGTCGTCGTTGGCTTAAACTTTTCACATTTTCATCTCCTTCTCAAAAACCACTGGGCCAATTTCAACCAAAGTTGCCATAAAGTATCCCTGGGTAAAGGGGATTCAAGTTTGTTCAAATGAAGGGCCAAGCCCTCTTCCAAGGGGAGATAATTATGAATTAATGAAAAATTAATGGCATCTTTTAAAAATCTTCTTCTCCAGAACCATTACTGGGCTAGGAAAGATGAAACTTATGTGGAAGCATCCTCAGGTAGTGTAGATTTAACTTTGTCCAAATCAAGACCCCCGGGGGTAAGGCGGGGCCACAATGGCTGATCAAAGTTTTACATAGGAAAATGAGGGCTGTTCGAAAATTATTTAGACATTTTGTATATTTTGCTTTCTAATGAACGTCTTTCGGTGAAAATTTGACATACACTAAAAATTAAAAAGAGCAAGAAATATTTTACAAATATTAAATGTTTTCTCTACAATGATATATAAATGTGTCAATAGTAGGGGTACCCGGAGCAGTCGCGGAATCAGATGTTGGAAATATATAACACCAAAATTCTAACTCTTCGTGGATCCATAATGAGAGCGAAAATAATTCAGTTTAAGTGTATAATTTTTCAGCTTTATTTCAATTTCATGTTGTGCAACTTTGATAGAATTTTGATCAGAAATATGGAGATCATAAAAAAATTAAGCGCGGTAGAGTAATCTGCTAACAACGACGAAATGGATTTTGACGTCAAGGGCGGAGCAGCCAGCATACCTAAACTTTGTGTAGCGCAATGTAGAACTTTTTTTCAAGACTGAACAACCTGCTAAAACAATAACAACGAGAAAAAATAATGTGATAGGGTGTGTTATTTCATTGGTATACATTTTTTAACAAATAATTTAACCAGAGTAAAATTAAAAGCTCTGGACGACCATGAGTTATTACGTACAGTATTAATATCGTTACGGTATTAAACTCGATCGTTTCACATGCGAAACCATCTACGGCTAACGTAACGTTAAATGACGTAGCAGTGCTGCTCCGGGTCGATAGACATATGCATATCTATTACTTCACCAAAACTTATCTAATTAGAAATTTTGCGTTAGTGTTTTAGTCGTTCTTTATAAGATGTTGATGAATATTCATGAATTTATCTCCGTCCTTTAAGGAGTAAATGTGATTGTCTCAATATATAATTTCCGAACAGCCCTCGTATATAGGAAAAATCTTTAAAAATCTTCTCCAGAACCACTTGGCCAGGAAAGATGAAACTCATGTGGAAGCATCCTCAGATAATGTAGATTCAAGTTTGTTCAAATCATGACCCCGGGGGTAGGGCGGGGCCACAATGGCTGATCAAAGTTTTACATAGGAATATATAGGAAAAATCTTTAAAAATCTTCTTCTCCAGAACCACTGGACCAGGAAAGATGAAACTCATGTGGAAGCATCCTCAGGTAGTGTAGATTCAAGTTTGATCATATCATGACCCCCGGGGGCCACAACTGCCATTCAAAGATTTACATAGGAATTTTTAGGGAAAATCTCAACAAAAACTAGGGAAAAAAATCATCTGCATGTTCAAAGACATTTATTGTATGAAAGCATCATCAATCAGGTAATTTAAAATTCCAGAACACCCCCTACCCCCCGAAAACGTCTCGATCAATACTGAGGTAATTTCTGCTTTTATTTCCTAGCCAGTGTGCTCAGGTGAACGATGTGGCCTACGGGCCTCTTGTTACCATTGTTTCCTACGATAATTTATCTACACAACCATATATGGCATGCATGTCTTGGTTTCATTTAGCTCCGTAAACAGCGTCAAAACTCTGCCCGCCGAGTGCATGGAAAGTCGAACTCAACCATAGTTGAAATTTTTGTGACAGACGGACAGCTACACCATGTAGACAGACTGACGGACAGACGAGTGAGATTTAATGTCCCCTCGCTTTTGCGAAAGCAGGGGGCAATAACGTTTCAAAATCATGGAGAGAAGACTCAGAGATACAAAAATTATAGAAAAACGTGTTCAAAAATGTACCATTTTGTGCCTAATGTCTGATCTAGCCAATTTTCAAGTTATTTTTTTAGCAAATCAAAAAGCACTGTCGGGAAAATATTTTCCTTTCCCATTTCACAGGAACCCGACAAATGAAGTAATTGTTAAATTGTACTCCCAGATTCCTGCCGAATATCAATCAAAAGCGCCCTCGTTCTTTACTTATGTAATATGATCGAAGCCATAACCCCACCCACTCAAAAGTTTTCATCAAGGTTAAAGTTTTTGCCGAAAAACAGAGAGATGGATATGGCACCCCGAATCTTCGATAATGGGTGCATAAAAATGTTATAAAATCTTGTCCCCAAGAACCGCTGGGTCAAAAAAGCTGAAACATGTGGAAACATTCTAGGGTAGAATTGATCCTAAATTGTTCAAACCAAGGGGGGGGGGGGGAGGGTTAGGGCGAGGCCACAATAGGGATTCCAAGTTTTACATTAAAAAAAATACTAGTAAAGGAAAAGAGCATTTTAAAATCTTAAGATCGAATCAACGGGCCAAGAAAGCTGACAATTATGTTGAAGCATCCTGGGATAGTGTATTGTAAAAATCCTATGACTCCCGGGGATAGGCGGGGGTCACAATAAGAAATCCGACTTTTAAATTGAAATATATGTATATAGAGAAAATCTTTTAAAATCTTCTCAAAAGCCACTGAACAAGAAAAGCTCAAACTTATATATGGAAGAATCCTGGGGAAGTGTAGCTATTCCGTCTGTAATCCTTTGTCATTTTTTACTTTCTCACTAGAACAACTGGGCAAGGGCCAATTTTACCCTAAGTTGGCACAAAACATACCTGGATGAAGGGAAATATAAATTATTGAACTGAAGGACCAAGCACGCTTTCAAGATCGAGGGAATAATCAAGAAAAGACAAAATATAAGATTCAATTTGGGTAATTAAAAACCCCTGAGCTAAAAAAAGGCTTTTGTCAAATTTTATGTGAAAGCATTCGGGGGTAGATTCTAAACGGTGCAAATCATGGGGCATTGGGTGTAACATGGGGTCACACTGGTTTTCCGCAAGATGCAGTCACTCAGAGATCCTCGGGTGACTCGTACCTCGCACACTAGCGTAGCGGAGTCAGCCGAGTATTGCCGATTGAAATGTAACTAGACTGAGACTTGAACAATGTAATCTTTCGTATGGAACTGAATTAGCAAACACAAGCATTTGATACCAAAAAAAAAAATGAAAAATTATCTAATAAAAATAAGTATCGAATACAAAGAAAAAATTATCGAATGGAAAATATAGAATACAAATAAATATACACAATTCAAATTAAAAAAAAAATATAGATTACAGATATTAATCAAAGAATACAAATAAAAATATTATACAACACCAGAGACAAATATACAAATACATATGGAGAATTATACACTGTAGATGGAAAATTATATAATACAAATAAGAATTGTGTATACAATGTACATGTATCGTTTGAAAAATATACAATATATAAATGAAAAAGGTCGAATATTTCAACGTCTCGACATGCCATAAATGTATATACATGGTATATAAAATTTAAAATGATATATTTTCGATACCAATTATAATGCCAATTCCAGCTTGCTCTCCTTATACAAAAATTATGTTCTTAGTTAATTTCACAGTGATCACTCGACTTATTGAACATACATGTATTTTAGTTTTGACTTCGAAGTTGCAAATACTTTATTATGGTATATATTTTTGGATCAGAATAAAAATTTGAGACAAAAAATAGACATTTAGACATTTATTCAGATACCTTATTTCGTTATATCTTTGAACACGATGAAATTTTAATTTCAGACAGCCTGTAAATAGTACATAGTAAATTTTAGAATAAATACATCAATAGAAAATAAAAAGAAAGGCATGGTATTTTTGCACATGACTAAAAATATACAAGTGCTAGTATTCTTTAAATTTGACATATGTGCAAAGAACTATGCGTTTAAGTTTCCATGCGAAACACATGAAACAGTACATGCGCATACTTCTTTTAAAGTTACATAAAGTTAATTGAATTTAATAAATAGTAAAAATTAGAAGATAAAATAGAGGCAATGGGTACACATTAAGGGACAATATGACCCTTTATAATTTCACACTCCCAAAATCTGAAGATACAAAGCAAATTGAATATCTTCAATGACACAGCCAGTGGGTATATATACAGTATTTGGTCAAGTTTCGCGGTTCATCTTTAATCTTCGTACAAACGTATCTTTCGGTGTGTATTATTCTTTTCGACTATGATCAGGCGTTACCCCCGCAGAGAGAGAAAATTCTGTTTTTGGTGTTTTATCAACTCAGTAAATCCGATCCTTCACCACTAAAGAGTTTACTTCTCTAACTTTAAAATAAGAATTTGGCTAAATCGTTTTACACGCTAAATCTCGGAATGAATGTCTAAGGTAACATTAAATTGGAGGTCTTCATTCTTCTAAACTCTAAATTTACCCCCTGAAGAGCACACCGAAAGTCAGAATTGAGATTAGTTCCAGAGTTGCCCAAGATTGTCGCAAATCTGGATTAATTTCTGTTTTTGAAAACAAGGGAGGTAAATGGTGCAAATTAAGGCAATCGGCTTAGAATGTGATTGAGCGAGCCAGCGATTTAAAAGGGCCCAAAGCTGCATCGGGGGTACTGTACCAAATGGTGTGCGAAAGACTATTTAATAAATGAGTCATTAGTGCGCCTTCACT